ATATTTACACTACGATTCATAACAGTAGCAAAATTACAGTTATGCAGTAGCAACGAAAATAATTTTATGGTTGGGGGTCACCACAAAATGAGGAACTGTATTAAAGGGTTGGGGCATTAGGAAGGTTGAGAACCACTGACCTAGAACTTCAAAGCGAACTCTTCCAGGGATTACAGAACCTGCAACCCCAGGCACTCATTTCAGAACTTGCCCTCATGATTACTGCTCTTCTCCCCAGCTCAACCGGTTTTACCACCCAATTCTTTGGGGTCCCAAACCCATATTTTCCACCTACTGAGAAGGCACAGCATCTGATGGTCATGGATTAGGGCTCACGTCTGCTGGTGGTCTCTATAAACTGACAAATGGTGAATCTTACCATCTTCGCAGGCCACTTAGGGCCTGTCTCTGTATATACCACACCTTCATGGTGCCATAGCAGCCAAAGACCACATGCAAAGGAATGGAGGACCAGATATGGCCACTGTACTTCTTTGTGGACCCAACATTTAGAGTATGTAGTGTGTCACAGATATGGGTGTCCCATCCAATTTGTCCTCAGTGTGTTGAAGACCCAGAGCTGATCACTGTCCAGCATGTAGCTTTTGGGTAGAGTCAGTGTGAGAGAATGTGGATCATGCAGCAATAGGCAATTGCTCCACTCTGTCCTGTGAGACCCTGCAGGAAGTCATCGGTGCAACCTGAGGGTAGTGCTAGGGCAACATTTCTGGTGAGAGGATCAGGGACATCTCTCTTTATATCTGACATGTTCTCTGTGGCCCTGCTCACTTCTATTCTATGGCTACTGGGCCTAGCTGACCTAATGACACTCACGATGGACAACTCTGATGCCCCATAACCTGAGGCCTCATCTCTCCCAGGTCCCAGTACTTTACCAGGAGCCTCTTTAAATGGTGTGGGTCTCCTTGTGGCAAGAGACATAGCCTTGCTTCAGAACATTAGGGGTCTGTGTTGTGATCCTCCAGTAGAAAGGCCATGAAGTCCCCTTAGCACCTTGTCTACTACAAATACCTCCCAGATCATATGTTTGCTGGGTTTGATGGACCAAAAATGAGATCCAGCCACATTCACCCAATCACCTATTGTCTATCCCTGCTTTTATGCTACAACAGCAGAGCTGAGTAGTTGCAACAGACTTCTGATCTGCAAAGCCTGAAATATGTGATATATACCATCTATAGAACGTCTTCTGACCAGGCTGGAAACGTAATTGAGCTACGAAAGGGATCACACCACCACATCCTTACAGAGGGTTTAAGGTTAGTACTCTTCTCTGTTATTTCATTGAGGAAAAGACACTGTTTGAACAATCTGTTTGGAGGAAAGAGAAGACACCACTGTGAGCAGGGCCTGGGACAGGTGTCTAGTCATTACCTGGGCCCCAACCCCATGCACCACTTTCATAACAGGACCAATGATGATGCTTCTGGTATCTGGAAATGATGTCAACTCGCACACTGTATCCAATGTGAATGTCTGGGTGGTTTCTGTTTCCCGGTGTACATTTAGCCAAGTCAATGGCCACATGTCAGCTTGAAGGGTCCCTCCTCATGGGAACTGGGCCTCTCCTTCTAGTAATGGTTTACAGGTCTCAGAAGTAGCTCAGTTCTCAAAACTGGCAAAAGAGCCAGCCTCTTTCTAGGGAGGCTGCTTTTAGCCTCCCAAGTATTTATCCTTGTGTTTTGTCTCTGATTTATTACTTACACCCAGCACTCTCTGGGCTGCCTGTCCATCTGTTTTGTCTCTAGGATCACTGTGTTCTATGAGTCAAAGGGACAGCTTTCTGTGGGCCAGGCCCTTTCTTGGAATCCAACCTTTCTGATCACTTCAATAATGGCACTCTGCCTGCTTGTGACAGTTGAACGCCTGTATCTCTAATGTATTATTTCAGGACATTTTTTATTAGCCCCATTACTACTGGAGCCCATTTCTGGAATACCATCTCCACCTGTCAAGCCCGCCCATCAGGACAGCCATCACTGAGCTTCTTGAAAATGGTGGTGCCCTTCCTACTGTTGTGTGAGAAGAATTTCTCTTCTGCTTTTCTAGGTTCCTCTAACTGCTCTAATAATTAAGTTAACATGAGACAGATTAAATGAGAAAAGCAATTTTTAATTTGGTACATAGGGATGCTCAGAGAAATATGAGGCTCTGAGGTGACTAAAGTAGGCAGCTTTTATACATTTTGACAAACAAACAATACATTTGTGAAGAATTGACAAGACAAAAGTTTGGACTTGGAGTAGTAAATCAGTAATGAAGTCACAAGGTTTGTTTATTCAGCCTTCTTGGCTCTAAATTCCCTATGTCTGGTGTGAAGGATGTCTCTCTATCTAATGATACAGGGAGGGTGTCCTGTTTTTAGGGGACAAAGAAGAATCAGAGTATTGGCTCATGTGATTACGGTGGCGTCATGTCCAAAACCTGCAGGTAGTCCGGCATGCTGGCGCCCAGGATAGTGAGTGCTGCACTTAAAGTCTGAAGATAGTCTGCTGGAGAATTCCCTCCTTTTAGGGGTGGGAAGGGGGAGGTGGGGTCGCTCTTACTGTTCTTTTCAGGCCTTCATCTGATTTGAAAATCCCTACCTGTGTGTGGAGGGCAATCCCCTTACCTCAACATTCACCAATTTATTATACACCTTCAGGCTAAATTACTCATCTCCTCTCCCCTCTGCTGTGTCCTAACACTGTAGTCTACAGTCAGAATATCACACCTGTGTATTTTGTGCTCCATACTTCATGTGGTCACTGGAAATGCAATGTGTGCCTTTTGTGAAACAGGGAGCAATACATGCTGATGCTCAGTCATTCTCTGATCAATTGCATTACCTTCAAGAACAGGAGCTGAGGGAGGGTCTCCTCATGTGTGGGTCTCACCATATACATAACCACCCTTGGCAAACCATCCCCAACTTCAGAAGAACCGCCCCTAATCTCCTGCTCCCGGAGTAATTCAATTAATCACATTTGATTGAGTGATAGAATGTATTACACCTTGTAGAATAGACGTGATAAAAGGACACAATCTAGGTTTGTGATCAGGCTCACATCACAGATAAAAAGGTATTGGAAGCACTGGTTTTGGGGACCCCAGAGAATTGGGCAATAAACCTGGGTGAGCTGGGGAGGAGAGCAGGGCCTCCCGAGGGAACAGGAGTGGGACAGGCTGGTGCAGAGTGGGGGGAGGTAGGACCTGCAGAGCATGGGCTCAAGAGGAGACGTGGTCCCAGTGACCACGTGAGGTGTGGAGCACACGGTATACAAACATCCCTCACCAAGTGCAGTAGTCTTACTGTGGACTCATGTGTCAGTACACACAGGAGGAGATAATTTAGCCTGAGGAGGGTCAGGAAGACTTAAAGGCAGGAGATAGTTATGTTCAGCTTAGAAACAAAACCATCTCTTGGTGATGGGACAGGGAATACCATCCAGAAAAAGGAACCAGAACAGAATCTTGGAGGCAAGATGGTGAGGACCGGTGGGTAGGCCAATGCGGCTATATCACAAGAAAATGGAGAACAGAAGATGACAGGCAGAGCCATGGGATAGGGTGGGTGTGTGGGAAATAGGAATGGCAACCATGAGTTCCAGAAACAAAATGTATCAGGAACACACACACACACACACACACACACACACACACACACACACACACACACTGCTTACAGGGTTGATCTATCTCAGAAGAGCTGCAAGCCCTTCTCTCTGATTTGGCTACTTGGGAGCTCCTGGCTCACAGGGAGGGTCAGGACCATAC